ATAATTAATATCTAATAATAATACTCCCTCCGTTTCTTTTTGTTTGATACATTTGGAATCTTGACATTATTTACAATTTGAGAGAATCTTCTAAATTTCTCTCAATATATAAGGAAAAAATAGTCATGTGGGATCTTGTTGGATTCGCCTCAATGAGTACTACAAGATTATCAAACTTTCATAATTTTCACACATATACAAATAGAGATATTAATCAAAGAAAACATGCATTGGCAAACATGCAAAAGAAAAGTGTATCAAATATTTTGAAACGGAGGGAGTATTTATTAATATTAAATAAAAAATAATAATAATGATTACTAATAATAAGTAATATTGAATAATATTTAAAAATTAATAATTAATAGAAGTATCAATAATTATTAGTTATTAATTATAATGTATTAATAATTGAAAATATTTAAAATAAATTATATTTATTAATAAACACTAAAATCACTAAAAACAGTAAAAAGCGCCGAAAACCGCGATAACGCGCGAATTTCGCAAAATCGATAAAAATAATTTGAAAATCAAATAGATAGAAAATAACAAAATAAGAATGAAAATGAAAATAAAAAAAAATGAAAGAATAAAATAATTTTGAGGTGACTCAAGTTTGGTTTATTTTCTTTTGTACCAAAGGTCATATAGGATTTCCTTATCCTTTTCATTGGAAATTGGTTCATAATATAACTAGTCTTTAAGGCGGCTTCTCCCCATCAATCATCACTTAAACCTGAATAGGATGACATGGAATCAACCATTTCTTATCTCTATACTATATTGGAATTCCTGTGGACTTTGGTGTCCACATGGAATTACCAATATGCCCTCAACTTAACTATCTACAAAGGAAAACATATGGGGGTAAAGTAGGCATAATTAAAAAACAAATTAGCAGTTATCTTGATTAATTGAATACCCTAAAAATATGAACGGTTAAACAAAACATATAAGCCAAAATAGATTGTTACAAACTCAAAAAAAATTGACGAAAAATAAACCAAATTTTATATTTTCAACGCTAATATCCAACTGCTCTGTACAATCTCACTGAGGATCACTTTGTCAAACAAAATTTTACACCACTCATAAAAAATCAAAGGATTAAGCAAAGAAAGCTGCAAAATTGGAATTGAAGAAGGAGATAATTGTTGTTAGTCACTGAAATAGGTAAGAAAAAACTGAATTACATACGATTCAGGAATCACTGCTCTAGATTGGAATTTGGCACTATCACCCTGCACCTCCCCTTTAAGCACACTGCTTTGGGCAACATGAGTGATGTTTTATGAACTGCCAGCAATTGACGACAATGGTGTACTAGCAAATGTCGGCCTGCATCAGTCAGCAACTTGAAATCACGTTTTGATGTGGTGAAAACTTGAAGCAAAGATATGGTACCTTGGTACATGCACAGATTTTGCTACCTTCTCTTTGAAGAATGAAGTGTGAATCAACTGGTACATGTGAAAAGTGTATAAACCTTGATGGAAAGAAAAATGTTATGCATAAAAATATTAATTTGCTCATTTGGATGTCATTGCTAATGTAGCTCAGCTTAGTGCTTGATGAACTACCTTTGGCTTTGTGAGTGCCAAACCTTGTATATTCTCAAATGCTTTGAAGGCTCTTTACTTGACGTTTGAGAAATAGTTGGTTTAATTGCTATTGAGAATCAATTGGTCTTAGCAAAATGACAATGTTTAAACTCAAAAAGTTTTATAGGCAGCAATTTATGTGATTGTAATTGTCTCTTGCTTGTGAAATTGTAGTAGCAAATTCTTAGGCACATCATGATACCAAATTACCAATTAATGTTGTACATCCGTTTACCCAGGAGCACGAAATTTATGATTTTAACAAGCATGTATGAACATGATCCAACTGCCCTAGAAATTTCAAACATTTTTGTTTTAGGCCCTTAGAATTCCTAAAAAATCGTCATATAGTTCAATTTTGGCCATCTATGGATCATATAGCTCAACATCAATTTTTTTCCAGGGTCTTTATTCAATTTCACCTTAAATATGTAGTGTACACAACTTTTGAATGATTTTCCAATTATTGGCAAATGCATTTCATTGTTTTCCAACACCTTCAAAATCCTTGTTCTATTTTTTTTTTTTTTTTTTTTTTTTTTTGCAAATGAGGAATAACCAAGAAGGAAAAAATAAAAATAAAAACATAAACTAAACAACCAAATAAACTCTCAAGGAGGCACTAGGCGAGGGAAAGCCACACCTTGAGTGTCCTCATTGAGGATCCTACGAAGCTCCAAAGGAGCATTACCTAGAATAAGAAGTTTATCCGGTTGAGCCACACCACGATTAGCGAGCCAGTTAGCAGCCCGATTCCCTTCATGAAATACATGAACCACCTTAACCTCCCAATCGTCCTTATTTAATAACTCGTGGCAGTAGTCGATCAAGTGAGCACACTCACTGCTTCCATGGGCATCTGAAATAAGAGCTTGAACACACGCTAGATTATCAAGTTGGATTTAAAGTTTACTTAAGTGTAAATTCCGAGCAAGTTCCATCCCTCTTACTAAAGCCATTACTTCAGCTCTATAAGCATTGCAGTGTCCATAGTAGAGAAGCTTGATATAAACTGACCATCATGGTTCCTGATAATAGCACCCCCACCAGCAGGTCCAGGGGAACCCTTAGCTGCAACGTCTTTGTTTAGAACAAACCACCCCTGATCAGGTCTGGTCCAAGCCACGTGCTGCTCAATTTTGCCTTTATTAGTACTGCTGCTAGCACTCTCACCATCAGCATTGATGCTTCGCCGGGTTTCTTCAAATCGTACCTTGAGAAAGGCTCCTACATCAACTGGGTTATCACTGCTTCGCCCAAAGGTGTTGTTGTTCCTCCATCTCCAAAGCCACCAAAGAGTGATAGCAAAAAACGTGGGACACTCATCTGCTTCACCCCTGTCATCATACTCCAAATTTGGATTAGGGGTGCTTATTGAGCTGAGCAGTTCGCGAGCAGCTCGACTCGAGTTGGCTCGAGCTCGTTTGAATTAGCTCGTAACTCGATAATTTTATCGAAAAATCAATAATTTTATATGTTAAATCTTTCAATCAATTGGGTGTTGGTGTAGTGGTGATTGGGACTACACTTGGTAGGGAGGACTTGTGTTCGATCCCCCGCAACAACAATTGGGATGGGACTGGAACCTAATCACCCAGAACTGACCCCCGAATTCGGATTATCCCAAAGGGTGAACCAAGTAGAACACCCAAAAAAAATGTTAAATCTTTCAAAATAAAATTTAACATTGACACTTAATATAATAAATTAATACACTTTAACAATATATAATTTCCTTAAAGAAAAGAATATACAATCTGTTATGAAGCAACTTGTGTGAATGCCACACAATTATTTGATCTTCTTTGTCATCGCCATTAAATGCATAGCGAAGTTTTTCCAAGCCTATTAACCTATATGTATGGCTAATGTGTATCTAGTAGTAGCTTGTTTCTACTATAAATACATGGTGAATGCACTTGCAAATTCACCCATTCTCATTTTCATCCGTAGTGAGATAATATTATAAATAGTAAAATACTTCTTTAGCCCTCTCACTATATATATAATTTATAACACGTTATCAGCACGGTCTTCAATCAGGTATACTTATACCGATTATCCAATTTTTACAAAGATTCAATTTCTTTCACAAAATATATTTTGAGGAGTATGCTCTATAGTTGCCCATACGGGATCCTCTATACCAGAAACTCACAATATATTCTCCACAAAATTACTCTACATAATTAGCCATGTTGATAAAAATGAGGATATCAATACATACCTTATTTATGATATTTAGTTTGGTAACTCTCATGCATGGTTATAGAAAGTAATATAAAATTACTTTTGCATGTGGAAATATTTGTTGTATGCATGTTAATAAAGTAAATTTCATGGTCACACAAATCATGTTCATACTTACTTACTTGTGCATAATTACTAAAATGAAAAAAAAAATGATGCAGCCTTTATATTTATTTAATTTTTAGATTACACACTTTTTATGTTTCTTTCAGTTTTCGAACCCTTGACCTCATGAATATATTAGGGTTCTCGGACCACTACAGCTTGCATCCCAGTGTGATACTTATTTACGTTTGTAAATATTAATAGTTTGATCACAATTTTTTTTTTTACCAGTCTACTAGAACATTGTATGATATTTTTACAGTTGCGTAAAGCTGAAACGGATAATTTACCCCCTACAAAAGGCGGATTACACCCCCTTATTTCACCATACAAACCTTATCCCGTCCTTAAACTTTACCCAAATTATCTCCTCTTCTTCTTCCTCCATTCACTCCGGCCACACACCATGTTCCCCGTCGACAACCGACAACCACCACACCCCTTTACCTTTGAAGAAGATTTAAGAAAATTAAAACTATACTTAGTTTTAATTATGGCCCTAGTAGTTTTATTAATGGCAATGATTATTTTCATCATTTTACATAAGTAGCACTCGGTTTTTCGACAAAGGGAAGTAATGCATGTAATCTCCGTAGTACTTCAAGTTTTTTTTGTCTTTTAGGTAGATTATAAGTGCATTTTGTTATAATAAATGTTCCTTTTGTCTTATCATTAATGTATGTCATTAATATTATTATTATTATTGTTGTTGTTCTTGTCGGTGATGTAGTAATAGTAGTAGTATTTATTGTTATTGTTATAATTATCATTGTTATTGTTATTATTGTTGTTGTCGTTGCTTAACTAACGTAATTATCATGTTTAATTTTAGCTTAACTTTATGTAAATCATAATAATAACCCAAGGGGGAGAAGCAAATATGTTTTAAATGGATTATTATCATGATTATAATTTGATTACTTTAATTATCACTTACTTAATTGACTTAATAATAATTATCTATTTGATTGTAGTTAAAATGGGAGACTTGATGAAAAGACAATTTGACGTATTAGACTTGTTCGGACATAATTATCTTGAATGACAGTTGATGCCCAAATGAATTTAAAGGCTCAGGGATTGGAACATACAATCAAAGAAATTACCATCCCAGGAAACGAAAAAGATGCCCCTGCTCAAGTTAAAGTTCCTACTGATCAAGAGAAAGCAAAAGCTATAGTTCTCTTAAGACATCATTTACATAACAGTTTAAAAACTGAGTATTTAATGGTGGAAAATCCCAAAGAACTATGGGATAGCCTGAAAGGAAGGTATGACCACCACAAAAGGGTACTCCTTCCTTCAGCACAGTTTGAGTGGACAAACCTGAGATTTTAGGACTTGAAATCTGTCAGTGATTATAATTTATCACTATATAAAATCGTATCAATATTGAGATATTGTGATCAACCAGTCACTGAAGTGCAAATGATAGTGAAAACACTCTCTACATTCCATGCTAACAACATTGTATTGCAACAGCAATACCGTGAAAGAGGCTTTGCAAAATATTCAGAGCTTATTTCTACATTATTAGTTGCTGAAAAGAATAATGATCTTCTGTTGAAGAATCACAACCTAAGACCAACTGGGTCTCAAGCATTCAATGAAACAAATGTTGTAGAAAGCTCAAATCCACCTGAGACAAATGTTGCTCATAGAGGTGGACATGGAAAATATAATAACCGTGGCAGAGGTCATGAAAATTTCCGCGGACGTGGCCGTGGACGTGGTCATGGCCGTGGTAGAGGCCAATTTCCCCCTAGAAACAACACTCAAAGGGGGCATCAACAAGGAAACAAAAATCAAGCCACCACAAAAGGAAAAGACACTTGTTATAGATGTGGCATGACTGGACATTGGGGACGTACTTGTCGTACGACCAAACATCTGGTAGAACTATACTAGGCTTTCATTAAAGGGAAAGAAAAACATGCCAAAGCAAATTATGTTACTGAAGAAAATGTCCTTGGAATTAGCCTTGATGTGTCTGATTTCCACATAGACAATGGTGAAGCTGGTGGTGAATTTATCTTTGGAGAGAATAATCATGTTTAGATAATTCATCAATTACTATGATATGTATTATGTTTTCATTATGTACTTTTCTTTTATGTTTTTCATGTTCAAGTTATGTACTTTTAATTTTTCATCATTAATAAAGTAAGTCCAGTTTAATTATCTTAAATTAATCTTATACTTATTATTTTATGAAGATATGGATCTGCCCGAAGTTGGTTCCAAATTTCAATGTCTTTTGGACAGTGGAACAACACACACTATTTTGAAGGATAGAAAATATTTTTCAAAGTTAAGATTGTTTCAAGCAAATGTTAATACCATTTCTGGGTCAGCCAAGCTAATAGAAGGTTCTAGAAAAGCTTGCATAATACTCCCAAATGGAACAAAATTAATCATTAATGACGCTTTATATTCGAGTAAATTTCGAAGAAATCTTATAAGCTTTAAAGATGTGCGTCAAAATGGTTTTCATTTAGAAACAATGATAGTGGATCAAAAGGAATATTTATGCCTCACGGCAGAAAAACATGGCAAGAAGCATGTGTATGAGAAATTGCCAGCATATTCTTCAGGGTTATATCATATAGATATACGACCAGTTGAAATAAATTCGATATCTAACCAGAAGTTAGATAATAAGAATCTGCTAACTTTATGGCATGATCGTTTGGGTCATTCTGGTACAGGAATGATGCACAGGATTATAGCAAATTCAGTAGGACATTCAATTAGGAATGTCAAAATCCCTCGATCAGATGAATTAACATGCTCTGCATGTTCACTTTGCAAATTAATAATAAGGCCATCTATGAACAAAATTGCTACTGAATCTCCAACATTTTTAGAGAGGATTCAAGGAGACATTTGTGGACCAATTAATCCTGCATGTGGACCATTTCGATATTTTATGGTATTAATTGATGCCTCAACTCGATGGTCACATGTAAGTCTCTTATCCAGTAGAAATGTTGCTTTTGCAAAACTTCTTGCTCAAATTATTAAACTAAGAGCACAATTTCCAGACCATACAATAAAAAGAATAAGGCTTGACAATGCTGGGGAATTTACATCCCAAACATTTAATGATTATTGTATGTCGATTGGAATTGTTGTAGAACATCCAGTAGCTCATGTTCATACACAAAATGGACTCGCTGAGTCATTAATTAAGAGACTACAGTTGATTGCAAGACCATTATTAATGAGATCAAAATTGCCTTCATCTGCTTGGGGTCATGCCATAATACATGCGGCAACTCTAATTAGATTGAGACCAGCTGCTTATCATAAGTTCTCACCACTACAATTAGTTTTTGGTCGAGAACCTAATGTCTCACATCTATAATTTTTTGGTTGTGCGGTGTATGTTCCTATTGCTCCACCCCAACGAACAAAGATGGGTCCACAAAGAAGGCTGAGAATTTATGTTGGGTTTGAATCACCCTCCATAATTAAATATCTTGAACCAATGACCGGTGATTTTTATTTACGGCTAGATTTGACGACTGTCATTTCAATGAGACAGTATTCCCAGCCTTAGGGGGAGAGAAAGTGGACCCACGAAAGAAAGAAATAGAAATCATTTGGAATGCAACACAATTGTCAATGTTTGATCCACGAAAAAATATGTGTGAACAAGAAGTTCATAAAATTGTTCATTTACAAAGCATTGCAAATCAGCTGTCTGATGCATTTATAGATGCAAAGAAAGTGACCAAATCACATATACCAGCTGAAAATGCCCCTGCACGAATTGAAATTCCATCTAGTGATAAGATCATTGAAAATGAATCTCTAACACGCCGAAAGCGTGGAAGACCACTTGGTTCAAAAGACTCTAAACCAAGAAAACTAAAAAGACCTGATGAGATCAACAACATTCCCCTTACGGAAGGTCAAGAAAGACAAAATACAGATGAGAATAAAGAAAAAGATGAGAAACCGAAAGGGGATGAACAAGATGACCATGACATCGATAACAATGAAACTTCAATAAATTTTGTTTCTACCAGGAATTATTGGAATAGAAATGATGTTATCGTAAATGAAATATTTGCATATTCCATTGCAATTGAAATGGCATCTGACGAAAATGATAGTGAACCAAGAACAGTGGAAGAATGTCGTTGCAGGCATGATTGGCCAAAATGGAAAGAGGCAATGCAGATAGAGTTAAAGTCACTCGAAAAACGAGAAGTATTTGGAAAAATAACCCTTACACCAGAAGGTGTAAAGCCAGTTGGATACAAATGGGTGTTTGTGAGAAAACAAAATGAGAAAAACGAGGTTGTTAGGTACAAGGCAAGACTTGTAGCCCAAGGTTTTTCTCAAATTCCAGGGATTGATTATGAGGAGACATATTCTCCCGTAGTTGATGCAACTACGTTAAGATTTCTAGTAAGCTTGACAGTCTCAGAAGGACTAAAGATGCGATTGATGGATGTAGTGACCGCATATTTATATGGGTCACTCGATACAGACATTTATATGAAAGTCCCAGATGGACTAAAATTACCAGAAAACCACAAGCCTAGACATTTACTTTCCATGGTCACTTTATGGATTGAAACAGTCTGGAAGGATGTGGTATAATCGTCTTAGTGAATACCTTATGAAATAAGGATTCAAGAATAATCAAATCAGTCCTTGTGTTTTCTTTAAGAGATCACAATCAGGATTTGCAATTGTTGCGGTTTATGTTGATGACTTGAATATCATTGGAACTCCGAATGAACTTGAAAGAACTCCAAAGTACTTGATGAAAGAATTTGATATGAAAGACCTTGGACAAACTAAATTTTGTCTTGGATTGCAAATTGAGCACTTAAATAATGGTATTTTTGTCCATCAGTCTAACTACACTGAAAGAGTGTTAAAACGTTTTTTCATGGACAAAGCGACCCCAACAAACACCCCGATGATTGTTCGGTCTTTGACTATGAAATATGATCCATTTATACCTCGAGAGGAAAACGAAGATGTCCTTGGTCCTGAAGTACCATATCTGAGTGCAATTGGGGCTCTAATGTATCTAGCTAACAATACTAGACCAGACATAGCTTTTTCTGTGAATTTGTTAGCCAGGTTTAGTAACGCACCAGCGAAGAGGCACTGGAAAGGAGTAAGACACTTACTACGATATCTACGAGGAATGAAAGATCTTGGTTTGTTTTATCAATCAAGGCAAGATGCCACCCTCATCGGATATGCAGATGCTGGATATCTATCAGACCTACAAAACGCCAAGTCACAAACTGGATATCTGTTCACCTATGGTGGAACTGCAATTTCTTGGAAATCAATAAAGCAAACCTTGACTGCGAGATCATCAAATCATGCTGGGTTGATTGCCCTTTATGAAGCAGGACGTGAGTGTGTATGGCTAAGGTCAATGATCGGCAATATCCAAGAAGAATGTGGGATGAAAGAAGTAACTGAAAGTCCAACCATCATTTACGATGACAATACTGCATGTATCGCACAAGTAACTGAAGGATATATTAAAGGTGATAGGACTAAACATATATCCCCAAAACTGTTCTTTACACACGATTTGCAGAAGGAAGGGAAGATAAATGTCCAACAGATCCAATCATCTGATAATCTTGCAGACTTGTTTACAAAGTCCCTACCTTCGAAGAGTGTTGAGCGGTTGGTCCACAAGATTGGGATGCGTCGTCTTCATAAACTATGTTAAAATCAGGGGGAGCATTATATGCACTGCACTCTTTTTTCCCTTCGATCAGGTTTTTATCCCAATGGGTTTTTCCTGACAAAGTTTTTAATGAGACAGTACACTATAGCATATAACAGAATATTTTTCCTAGCAAGATTTTAATTAGACAACATTTACTCAGTTTTGTGTGGGCATTCAAGGGGGAGTGTTATGAAGCAACTTGTGTAAATGCCACACAATTATTTGGTCTTCTTTGTCATCACCATTAAATGCATAGCCAAGTTTTTCCAAGCCTATTAACCTATATGTATGACTAATGTGTATCTAGTAGTAGCCTGTTTCTATTATAAATACATGGTGAATGCACTTGCAAATTCACCCATTCTCATTTTCATCCGTAGTGAGATAATATTACAGATAGTAAAATACTTCTTTAGCGCTCTCTCTCTATATATAATTTATAACATAATCAAATAATTTCCTATAAAAAACTGAATTTGAAGAGGGTGAAAAGCTGAGTGCAACCGTACAAGCAAGCGAAACTAACAAAGGCATAGGCCAATTGAAAAGCGAAACAAACTCTGCTACAAAATCACAAATTAAAGCCCTTCTAATCTTCATCCTCGCGATTCAAGATTGAACTCATCATCCAACATTGGGTAAGATTCGAACGAATTGAATTGAATTGAATTTGTGATTTGACAATTAAGAGGGGTTTTCAGTTTTCATCTTAGGGTTTCATTCTCTCATTTCTGCTTTTCAGAATTTCGTTTTATTACTAATATTGAATTCATATGCTTACTTGTGAATCCGATCAGTCTTTCCATTGCCATTTTTTTCAATTGCTTGATTGTATTGCATTAAGCATGCTGCTAATTTTTTGCATTGAAATTCGTCAGATTAGAAAATAATAAAATATATATAAATATATATTTAAGCTATTTTTCCTATAATTTGAAACTAGAAGGAATTTAATTTTTGTATGTCCTGCCAATATGCATAGGAGCATATCAAATGCTTTGAATTTCAGTGAAAAGTTCTGCAATGTGATTGTTGATATCCTAGTTTAGTAGGTACTAATGGATCTCGTGGATACAAACTGCATCATTCCTGAAGATGTATTTCGGGACATCCTTTCGCGGCTTCCGGTGAGAAACTTGTTGCAATTCAGGTGTGTGAGTAAGTCATGGTGCGCCCTGATTGACGACCCCACCTTCATTCAAACACACTACAATGCTCAATATGCATTGCACAAAGTACATGGTGATCTGCCCAAACTTCTCTGGAAACACTTGTTAACCATACGACGAATCTATCCAATCCAATGCCATCTTCTTTCTAAACAGCACGGGGATGACACTGTTTTGAATCTGACACCTGATGTAGAGCGTCTTACAAACTCTATTTTCCCCAATCATCCGTATATAAGCTTTGATGTCTTTTGCCGAGGCATTGCTAATGGCATTATTTGCCTTCAATTTAGAGGCATGGATGTAAAACAATTGGGCAGGGGATTTTTTAGTTGTGGCTTGTGGAATCCTGCGTCTCGAGAGGTGAAGATTGTTGCCTTTCCACATTTGCCCGATCAACGTACACGTATACCTGGAGGGTTTGGGTTCGATGTTGTTGGTTTCGGGTTTGATCCTGTGTCGAATGATTATAAGATTGTGGCTATTATTCCTGTTAAGTCAGACATTGTTTTGTTGTACATGGTCTACTCACTAAGCACCGACTTTTGGAAGAGGGTTTGCCAACCATCTTTATTGGGTATAAACGCTACTGTGAGGTGTCCTGGAATGGATGCGTGTTTCAATGGTGTACATTATTGGATTGCTAATCTTCTGAACAATGAGTATGACCCTAAAATATTTAGGATCCTATCATATAACTTTAGCACCGAGGTGTTCAGGTTTTCTGATCCACCGCAAGGCGCTCTTCCACCCGTAGGTTACAACAGTGACAAAGTGATGTGGAACATTGGGCTACACAATGAAAGTATTGCTCTTTTTTTCATTCGCACAGCGGGTGAGGCTAGTGTTGACATCTGGACAGCCACTGAATTCGAGGATGGCGACTTTGGAGCTCCATTGGCATGGCAATGTTTAATTTCCATCAAACCAATTATTGAACGATTGGGTTCGTGGGTTGGGGCGCAACGGATGAATGGTGATCTTTTATTTTCTATGTTTGATTGTGAGTTGAGCCTTTACAATCCCACAACAGGCCAGTTCCGGAGAATGGGTATTAACTTTGATATATGTTTTGGATATGTAGAGAGTTTGTTCCCTTTGTCAAGGAGAGTTGTTGTATTGACATAAATAATAATGCATCTGTACCCCTTAAAATAAAATAATAAAAATTATGCATTTGTAAATAATAAGTAACATAATTCGGATGACCAGTGTATTGCTTTGTTTTTATTTGTGATTTGGATGGTTAATAATATATTAAAGTTAAAATATGTGGTTTAGATGGCCAGTTTTGCACTTGAGGAATGGGATAATATGCAGTGGTGCTAGTAATCGTCTTATATATATAGAAAAGAGCCTAGCACTGGTGAAAGGGAATGACATACTCCCCCAAATCCACGTCATGTGAAGAACATTGCTGTTAGTAACTCTACCTTGTGGGCTTTTTGTTGAAGTCCCACACCTCCTTTATGTGTCAAGGCATCATTGATTGTAGATCCTTAACTGTCTTTGTTTTTCTTCTGTCGAAGGGATAGATCTGTTGATCACAGGGAGCCAGACTACTTCATGCTGGCTTTCTATCCTTACTGGTTGTTACCTTGATTCTTGATACATTTGTTCAAGAATTGAAATCTCTTCATGAGATACGTCGAAGTCTGAAACTAGTAGAACATTTTTTGGCTTCAACACATCAAGACTGACCTGTATGGAAGTGTAGAGATCAATGCATATGAAAACTATTTACAGAACTACAACGATCAACTGTTTGTTTGACAAAGTTCAATCTTGTGCAGCATTATGATATCTTTTGATGTTGGTCGTGGTTCTTTATGATTTATCTTCGTTAAAGCTGATATAGAGAAGAATGAGTAGTAAGCAAACCTTTTTCCGGAAGACTCGTCAATTAGAGGTGAATCTTAAGAATCTTCATGTTGTCTAGGTGTGATGTCTCAAATGCCCGAATGAGCATTTGGTATGCTTCAATATGATTCTTTTCAGCTGCATTGCTGAAGGATATCATTTAGTCATGGTCGATAGTGCTATTGTAAAGCCTGAAGTGAACCTTGATTCTTTCTGTATGAATCTCTGTTTAGCTTGATTTTATAAGAAATAAATATAATATACATAGTTGATATATGATCTATTTGCTTACCAATGTGTTCATGACAGAGATTTAGCTGCTTTCAAAGATGTTCATATATGTTGTTGACTATGTGAGCCAAGCTTGAGAGCTCCCAAGCCTCTGTCGTTAATGATATAAACCTGATTGCATCCCAAATGTAAAATTTAATTAGCACTGCAATAATTGTTTTTGAAAAAAGGTGGCTGATATTGGTTGAGAGGAATATTCTTTTTCTGATCAAACTCTTTGAGTCTGAAATTGTGCTGGTGGTTCATTTGGATATCATGTCAATTTTTGTATGTCTAGTCTTTTCACATATTTCTTAATTATATACTTCAAGTTTATATCATTACTATATTCCTGTTAAACTATTGGAGAACATGAACTTCCATTTTTATGATGATGGCCCTAAAAAATAAAAAATCTGCAAAGCATGAGCTGTTGCTAGAGTGAGGCCGCATTGAAGCATGGAGCAGAGACATACTCATAACTCATGCTTGATAGACCTGAATTTTGTAATTTTTGTGATGCATAGGCAAGGATACTCCTGATGATCCAATATACAGCAGTTGGAATTAAAGCATTGGCACTTTCATATACCGGTGTTCTGTTTTGTATTGAGGTGGGAGCTCTTTGAACTCAATGATACACTTGGTAACATCTACCATGGCTCTGATGAGATAGCTAAGTGCTTTAAACTTGGGTTTGAGGGAGTTAGCATGATCCATTATCTCAGGAAGGTGCTTAAGGAATGCAACAGACTTTGCCAATGGGTTTACCAGGTAGAGTTGTGCAACCAACCACAATTCATCATAATACACGGCAAAGGCTGCAAGAGTGAGGACCACCTTTGCGTTCCATGAGTAGCTCGACACCATGTTGAGTATTGATAAATCATAGTTGTTGCATGTGCATCTCCACTGCTAGAGCCTAGAGGCACAGCGCTTGCAAGTTATCTGCATAAAGAATGTTATTAGGGGACCAGGTGTTCTAAAAAGTGCTCATGTTTGCTGTTATAAGAGTGTGACCAGACACCAGAGGTTTATGTCATTGCAGGTAAGCATTTGAAGAACTTTTATACTTAAATATTCAGGTACATTTTTATCTCATATTCATACGCTCTATTTACTAAACTGTTTGGCCAACTTATAGGAGTTTCTTGAATTTCAGGAATTGTTTTCAGAGTATAGATGATTTATCTAACCTTGCAAGAGATTTTGTTTATGGTATATGCCAATAGCTCTATCAATTCTCCGTAGCCAGCCTGAAATGCCTTATCATCAAGCGCCTCTAATTGTGCTTGAGCTCCCTGTGAGTTGTTTAAGCAGACAACTTTTTCATTAAGACAGCTAACATTATGCAAGTCTAGAGAAACGAATGGAGTTTTATAAACTATCTTCAATTCTACATGTGTTATGTACCTGTATAGAGCCTGGGCTGGTTGGTGTAGCACGGTTAAAGATATCTTCAATGATGTGGAGTCAAGTTTTCACGACCATCCTGGGCATGTGTGGCTCGAAGTTGGTTCAGCATTGTCGTGTCATCAGAAGTTGAGAACAAATGACGGTCACCCCTGAGGCCCTGAATTGTTATTTCCTGGCAGGTACAACAGCAGTCTCCATTTTTTGTAATTTTTTAGATTGTGGAACCTAATCTAATCCTGAGCTATCTATTAACTTCTTATATAGTCCTATCTGATGGCTAGTTAATTAGTTATGGGAATAAAGGATGATTGAACTACCTTGCTTGTAAGAGGGTGAGAACTTTTGATCTGCTGCTAACTACTAACACGGCTAACGACACGTATCAAATTTGGCGCCGTTGCCGGGGAGATTGTGTTTTATTTTTTATTCCAAAGTATGACTTAATGTAAATGGGTATATTCTTATTATATTATCATAGCTTTATTGGTTATGCTGGCTCTGTACTTATTTGTAATGATGTTAGCTTTCATCTGCAGTATATTCTAGTGTCCTTTACTTCTTTCTATTATGTGCGTAGGTTCTCTAAGTAGTATTGTTTAAGTTGTAATGTTCCTGTGCTAGTAGTGTTATCATATGCTAATTTTTATATCATGCTTATATCTTCTTATTGTTTAATATCTCTGTGTACTAGTTAATGGTACTTAATTGTCTCACTTTACCTTTTGTAATTAGCTACTTTAACACATAGACCATAATCTAAAAGTTATATATGTCAGTATTGCTACTGTCTTGTAATTTTTCTTCTTTTAAGTTTGTTGCTGTTCTTAACTATACCTGATTCTTTTGGTTCATATATGGTCAGAATAGCTAGTCTTTTCTTATTTATCATTTGCTCTAGTGAGCTTGTTTGATACATTTGTGAGATTAAACGGTTGGATTTTTATTGTCAGACCGGCCAAAGGTTGGATTTTTAGATTCCATTTTTCCTATATATATATATATATATATATATATATATATATATATATATTATTCATATTGATGCAGAGGTAATTAATTAGATCGTACACTTTGTATATGGTTTAGTTCAAATTTAGTAAATATAAGCAGTTGCTTAGAACTTCCAAATTATATGACCTGCATCTTCATTATTGATATATATATGTGCTCAACAATATAAAGTTTTGATGATCACTAATTTGCTCGTACAGATTGCTCAACTAATGACCTTATTGAGTACTAATAGTGCTTTAGTTAGAGTAGTATTATGAGTCTTTTGCTTGTTTCTTGGTACCGTTTTTGCAAGCTTTAGTCTTGTTTTACTCCTCTTAGTAATAAGCATATATAAACTCAAGTGTTTAACATGTTTTATATCACATTTTTGCATGTCTTTTGCTTGTGATTCTCTTTTATACCTGTACAAGTTGGGCAACAAGGAGTATTTGACCGATCATCATCTCAGTTAATATATGTTTTTGGTTAAGAGTTCATGATGTTCAAAATTCTCAAGTTGATTTATAAGTTCAAAGCACCTGAACTCTAAGTCTGAATTTTTTTTGATATATTTGAGGCATAAATTTGGAAACATTCTGACCATAATTTGCTCAATGAATTGATACTCTGACTGTATGTTAGCTGGACTTGACAGAAGTAATAAGAGGTATTTAGTGTAGTCTGAAATTCAGTGCTAAAACATATACAATGCTAGCATATCATATCCTTTAAAGTATGTGGCCTGCTCATATAGACTTTTGTGTTCTCTACTTAAAATCAAAATGATGAAAGTCAGGATAATGGTGGCTGCTCATTTGAGCTCTTTATTATACCACTAATTTTTGTTTTCTTGCATAGGTTTATGGAAAAGTCTAGATTACTACTCCTCACCTAGTCTAAATATATGTTTTCAACAAGGGAGCTGAGTTAAAAGATAAAGCTTAGGTTCTATAATTTTGGTTCTAACTTCTAAAGTTTGGTGAAAGTTTGATTAAAATTAGTTTATTGATTGTTTTGTTTGGCCGATTTTTGCAAACAGATTTATTTTACTCGACCCGCACATCTGATTAGTGCTATATTAGTAACAACCTGTCAATGTTATGTTTTCATAAAACTTTTTGCATGACATTAGCTTGTTTTTACTTCTTGCATCATATCTACTTGGATTATATAAGTCACCTTGATTCTATTCTTCTTACTCCTATTAGGACCTAAGATGATTATTGCTTAAGCTTTTACTTTATCATATTATACTAACGATACCACCTGGTAATATGTGAAGTTAAGTTTTTGGTAAGTTTTTAGAGCCTTTAAAGTCCTTACTAAGGGAAGACATAACATACTCTACCCCATAGACAGGTGCTACTGATTATGTTACTATTTTTCTTGCACGGGTTAAAGCTGAAATCATAGAGGTGTTCTTAGATGAATTGAGGAGTGGTGTAGAACTGGATCAGTTGTTCTTGGATGCTCTAAATGAGATCAATTTGATGGAATGAAGATCGAGCTATGTCGAGCCAACGACGTAAACCAAAGGCGCTACTTGTGAGGCAACCCAAGAATGATTTTATTGCTTAAATTTAATTTTTCTTTTTTTTCTTTATATTTTCTTATAGTTATTAGTTTTGATTTGATTTTAATTTTCTTAATAATGATGGTCATTT